GGATGCTCCAAGCGCACAAGTAATGCAGCCGTCAGGGCAGAATTGGGGATCGAATTCCTACGGCCGGGAAGAGCCGCAAGGAAGCTGACATGGTCGTATCGCATGTGCGGGATGGGAGAAAAGAGGTTGCCGAGAATAGAATGGAAGGCGAAGTCGGCAAGCAAAAAGAGGGGTAGACAACCCACGGAATGGGTCAAGGTTGTAGAGGACGTATGGAAGGGGCTCGACATCGACGAAGATGAAACGCTGGAAACGGAGGGTCTACAGGGGTTCAAGGAGAAGATATCTGTTGCTTGTGCCGAGAGAGAAGAACAGAATCTGAGGAAAGAATCCAAGGATAAGGAGGGTCTAGAAGTGTAAGGAATATTGAAGGAAGGAAGGAAAAGGGTACAAGGATCACCCACGCCAATGGATGCAGGAACAAAGCTTATGGTCAAATTCAGGACCGGGGACATAGGCCTTCGAGAACGTCGACGAAGACATAGGACGGTAGACGAGGAAGACGACGAGTTCAAATGTGATTGCGGCTTCGAATGCGAAGACCGTGTTCATGTAGTCGCGGAATGTCCGTTGTACAAGAAGGAGAGGGAAGTGTACGTGACTGAGCTGGGAAAAATAGATGGAACGTACAGGGAGATGTTTGAGGCATGGAATAGAGAGGAAAGGACGGTAGCTGTACTGGGGCATAGGAGGTGGGTTGAAAAGGCGGGAAGGGATATCGTTAGGATAGACAGACTAGGGAAGACATTTTTGAGCCACCTTTGGCAAAGTAGAAAGGAACGATTGGCCATCGGTGATCGGTCCTGCAGGAACAATGCTTCGTCCTCTCGAGGACGCGTGGTCAATGGTAGAACCGCTGAGGCATGCAAAACATAAGAGTGTGCCCCCCGCCCCCCCCTCCGCTCCCCCCGATATTTGCCATCGGAGTTGGCTTTTCGTCGCTTGGCAGCGATGTTGTAAAACACGCAGACCACTTCGTGAGCTCGGCAACCAGGTAGCCGCCTATTTTTTTACCTCGGCGTTTTCTGCGGCAACTAAAATGGTGGTCGAGTTGATTGTTTTGTGCGGGGTCGAGAACCCTCAATCCGCGAAAAAGGCTAAATCGTACCGCGTTGTCTAAAAATGGTCGAGCACCCTCGAGGCGGTTACACAGTGTCTCCGGACGTGGATCACCAGAGAATAAATATAGTAATACGCAGCTGTCATCCGTACACAAGGAAGTAAGCACAAGATGACGAACGCCCTTAGCAGGATGCAGCTCACCCTTCATTTTACTTTTTCTGTTTTCACTTTAAGTCAGCGCCCACAGCGCTAGTGCCGTTTACTCCTATCCGCGGTCACACAGAAGAGGCTTTCTCTACCCTCCCCTCCTGCGGTACTTTACCATCGATTTTTAATGCGGGAAGAGTTCTGCACTCTCTTACCTCTGTGTTCACACGGACTAGCGCTATCCACTAGGCCAGGAGTGTAAGCGAGCGACAAACTCACTTTGCAAGAAATNACCCTTAGCAGGATGCAGCGCACCCTTCATGCGACTCGCCGAATATCTCACGGCGCTTCGCGCTTGGTGATGTGAGAGCCTGGTCCGGTGCGAACTCGGCGTGCTCCGTCCTGGCTTTGTAGGGATGCGAGGTCAATGGTCTAACGACTACGGCATGCACGACTATGAGTACACCCCCCTCCCCCTCCCGTTCAAGTNACAAACTCACTTTGCAAGAAATGCTCGCTTACGCCGGGATTCGAACCCCTGACCTGACTTCCAGAAGGTTTCGAGGATACCAGCTAGACCACCGGGGCGCCTTTCATGCGANAGCGCACCCTTCATGCGACTCGCCGAATATCTCACGGCGCTTCGCGCTTGGTGATGTGAGAGCCTGGTCCGGTGAGAACCCGGCGTGCTCCGTCCCGGCTTTGTAGGGATGCGAGGTCAATGGTCTAACGACTACGGCATGCACGACTATGAGTACACCCCCCTCCCCCTCCCGTTCAAGTGATGTTTGCGATTGCCAGACACGTAGACGCATTGAGTGAGGAATGCTTCATACTGAAACCTCACGGGTCGACTAGTAATGGAAGTTGCCGGACATATAGACGAGTTGAGTGAGACAGATGTATACTGAATATCACAGAAACTTTAGTGACGGGACAATTCGGGACTGCTGTAACAATAGATCTCATCCCAAACCCGTACCCAACCCCCCCCTGAAAAATAGAGGCCATCCACCCCTCTCCGCCCCCTTTACCTTCCCCAGAGGATGAGGGGGGTACAGTCCAAAGTAAGCACGAGCTTACCTAAGGATAATACCTATTGGTGCGGCATTAATACGTACTAAAGTCGCCCATTGAACGGTGGAGGACTTCGAGCTAATACACCTCAAAATTCTCTGGCGTGAGATCCAACATGGATCGGACGGTGGAGGGGGGGGATCTATCAAACACAGAGCCATCAAAGCAGAGCATTTTTTCTGACGTCGAGCAAGCTGATAAACGACCTGACCAACCACGCAAACACTGCGGAGCTAGATGTGCGGCACGCACAATGCGTTGATTTCGATTGTTGAGAGGCGAGTATAAGGCGGTAACGAATTGTTGGCCAAACGTTCGGCAGATAGGTCTACTCGGGAGTGTAAGTAGGTGGCAACCCATGGTGGAGCGTATATGAGAAGCTGGACGTTGGTGTACGCTCCATCCCGGCGTGTGAGAAGGATCGTAGGCTATGCAAATCGTCCCGGAACATATTGTGGTGAAAATGACCCCCCAGGAGGAAAGTAGCTTGTACCGCGGGACTTCGGAAATGATAAATTGGGTGGCCGGGGGACGTCTTGGTGTTCTTAAGCAGAGCGCCCGGCTCAAGACTAGGGTACTTCTGCCGGAAGGTGCGAACTTGGATCAAGGCTACGGGCCTATGTTGGAGGCGCTATTTTGCGTCGGTGAGCCGGCAAAAGAACTGAAAGGAGTCACAACCCCCAACGGCCACTTGGATTGGGAAGGCCGAGTATTCAGTAAACCTTCCTTAAAAAGAACGAAAAACAAGTGGCCACCGCCCAGTTGACGCAGAGATCATGACGATGGTGAAGAAGCCCGGAGGTTGGAAGCAGAGACTGTGGAAGGAGGACAGGCTGGAGCTGCTGTTGTTTGGGATTCCAAGGGACATGACGAGGATAGAGTTCAAGAACTGCTGTGACAGGAAGGGACTCCACTGCCTTGCAAAGGGAGAAGTACGCAGAGAGCATGAACATTTCCAGGTGTTATCGACCAAGGGAGACAACAAAGAGTGCTTGGGGGGCGACATCGAGAAGCTGTCGAACTCCGTATGGAAGTTTGGATGGAGGGTTTGCATCGCGAACATGATAGAAACAGAGAAGGTAAGGAGACAAGAAGCGAGGGCGATGGAGGCGAAGAAGAGACCGGGCAGGGGAGGCGAGCTGACAAGTCAGAAGAAGGCCGAGAAGAAGCGGAAGGCGAGCGATAGAGTGCGAAAAATCTCCAATAGGGAAAAGCACAAGCTGAGAGTCGGGTCGTGGAACGTGTGCGGGTTCGCAAGGAGTGAGCGCATGCGGTTGGAAATAGTGGACCAAGTGCAACAAAGCGATCTAGATGTAGTAGGGGTCCAAGAGACGTGGGAATTGAAGGATCGTGAGGTGGTAGGCAAACTAGGAAAATACCGGTGGGTAGGGAAGGCAAGCAAGGGCTTAGACCCGAAAAAAAGGGGGGAGGGGGGAGTCGGATTCCTTCTCAAGGAACACTTGTTTGACGTGGTGGAAGTAGTGGAGACAACGGAGTCCGAGGAAAGCGCATGGCTTAAGATACCTGGGGAGCGGGGTGAGAAATATTTGTTTCTAGGGAACGTATACGTACCACCGTCGTCGAAGAAAGTCGCAAGCAAGGCGCAGGAGAAGTTGAGAATAATTGGGAAAGATATCCAGAGGTTCAGTAGGAAGGGAGAAGTTGTCCTGGTGGGCGACTTCAACTCCAGAGTAGAGAAAGCTTCCAGTAGAGGACAGACGATCGGGTAGCACGGAGAAGGTAAAGTGAGTGATTACGGAGTGAGGATGCTTGCATCCTTGGGAAACAACGAGCTGATGGTGTTGAACGGTAGGAGGGGATGAGATAAGCCGGAGTTCACCAGGCAACGGGCAGTTTGCAATGAATACTCGATCCTCGACTACTTCCGGTAGGTGGGGGGCGCACACAGATCTCAGAGCTGCACGTAAGCGGGATATATAGATATAGGTTCGACCGACCACTTCCTCATATGGGCAAACATCGACCGATCTAAAAAGATGGAGAAAAAGAAGCAGAGGAAAGTGTTCCGGTGGAAAGTAGAGCGTGTTGGAGACAAGCGGACCCGGGATGGGGACTGGCTGGTAGTGTAGAACTCTTCAGGAAAATGCCGACAAGCGTCGAAGATGGACAGATAGGCATGCAAGCAGCAGCGGGCAGGGTGATTGAAGGGTGGGAGCCAAAAGTGAACACAAGGGCCAACAGAGTAGTGGGGA